CAAATTATAGATTTACTGAAAGTCGTTAAAGCGATAATGCCACACAAACGTTTTGATAATGATGTTCGAGACTGCTTTGATATCAAACATATGTTTACTAAAACACGTTTAAGATGACATCTGTCCACGTTTTTTGAACACTAACTAGCGGGTGTTTAAATTCCGCTTCATGTTTGAGAAGATGGAAACGCAAGACACAGCAAACGCAAACTTTATATCATTAAAAAAATGTACAACACACATTTTAAGCTTATCATATTTTTTCTGCGGATCATATTTCACGATCACAATATTGACCCGCGAAATCGCAAAAATATCATCCCCGTGATAATACAGAACATTGTGTTCAATCATGAAGCAAAATAATACTGGAGCGGAATTTAGAAATTAAAACAGTATTATTAAATAATCAGAATACAACCTTTTATTCGGAAACAACTGGCCATCATCGTTTTTTTACTCTTAGAGACGGAAGGTTTTACCATAATGTGGTCAGGTCTGACAGTAAAGGTTAAACCCGTTTGCACTTGCGCTGTCGCTGAATATTCTTGTGCGCAGGTGGTGAAGATATGATTTATTACAGCTATCATCTCTACTCGAAGGTTATAGAATAGTTGCTACATTGACGTCTACCATTTGTTTGATCAATGGTCTCAGGACATCCATGACATCAACTCATGTTACAAGTTATGACACACTTTTGCCTAATAGTATCAGTGCAGAAATGTCCACTATATCAATTAATGTAGCAATAAAGATGTTGCAGATTGCTGACAGAGGATTATTTGTCATGATATTAACGTTTTATCTTAAAACTAACAATCCGATTCATAGAGTATAACAGCTTGTTCTTTTCCAGTAATTATCAATTGCTTAAGTATGGTTGTGGATATTGTTGTTGCAATGAGGTTGGATTAAGCAATTGGTTACCTCATCCTCCTAAAGCTGTTATTTTTCTGAAGAAAACGTAATCCATCCAATTCTTCTCTCTTGGTAAATGATCATAATTTCACAACTCTAGAAGTCAAACTAATCATATTAAACACATGTCACGGGGATCTCACAAGGCTTAAATATCAATCCAACAATACTCCTCCGATATAATGGCAAAGTCTTCTCTTCTGGTTAAATTCACATATTGATGACGTTGCTGTGTGGTTGCTGTTTTAGTATTTGTGATAGACGATGGTTGGATTTTACCTGACGGATCACGAGATATGTTATCCGGATATGACGTCGTTGGATGTTTTATACAGCTAGTTATCCTGATTATTTTATGGTAACTCACGTCATCATCACAGAAAATCCCAATTACTGATTTTCGTTCAAAATATCTTTGTCGAAAAATTATAACTTTTTGAAGTCGACAACTTGACTAAAACTATTTGTTTTTCATGTAGATCTACAATTAAGTATTTTTTTAGTCAGTGTAATACTTCTATGCTAAAGCGTATGTACGTTATCTCAATAGGCACTTTACTAATCTCAAATCACGTCTATCTATAATGATAACATTGACCTAAATCGCAGTGTACAAACGAAATGAGGAAGGAGTCATATACACAGATTACCGAAGTGACAAAACAAGGTGCATGGCGAAAACTTGACGTTTTGTGTCGGTGATTTAATGTTGTGTACATGTAACACTTGAATTTATAGAGATGCATATTCCGTCTTTGCGTATTGCAGAGTTATCTTCTCTTGTGAGCAGGGATTGATTGTTACGTCATTGGTTTGTGAGAGTAACGTCATCAATCTTTGAGAAAACGACGTAATTTTCTCACACAAACCAATGACGTAATAATCAATACCTGCTCACAAGAGCAGATAACTCTGCAATACGCAAAGACGGAATATGTTTTTGTGAATAGTGCAGGTGTGAGAACAATGCAGGTGAAACGTTTTGAAAATAGTTTATTGAAATACATAACAAATATTTAACTACTTGAACTATAAGATAATTTCATCAAATCTGTTTACAAAGCTGTGTTGATTGATATGCATCAGAACATTTTAATTTGTGTCACCCTTTCTCATTATGCACAAATAACGTTGATACACATATATAGGTTAATTAATTCAATATACCAACTAAAACGATGATTTTATGAACGTATCAAAAATTGTTTTGTACGGTCTTTATCATGTAACGGTCAGTTACCCCAAAAAAATGTACACGGTCAACAACAAATAAAGCCCTTGAAACAAGTAAAACCCATGAAACAACAAATAAAACCCTTGAAACAAGTAAAACCCTTGAAACAAGTAGAACCCTTTAAAAAACAAGCAAAACCCATGAATAAAAAACCACCTGAAACAACAAGTAAAACCCATGAAACAAAAAGTAAAACCTATGAAACAACAAGTAAAACCCTTGAAAAAACAAGTAAAACCCCTGAAACAACAAGTAAAACCCTGAAACAACAAGTAATATACCTGAAACAACAAGTAAAATCCATTAAAAAACAAGTAAAACCCTTGAAAAGACAAGTAAAACCCTTCAAACAAGTAAAACCCTTTAAACAACAAGTAAAATCCACGAAACAACAAGTAAAACCCTTCAAACAAGTAAAACCCTTTAAACAACAAGTAAAATCCACGAAACAACAAGTAAAACCCTTGAAACAAGTAAAACCCTTTGAACAACAATTAACAACCATGAAACAACAAGTAAAACCCCTGAAACAACAATTTACACCCATGAAACAACAAGTAAAACCCACGAAACAACAAGTAAAACCCATGAAACAACAAGTAAAACCCATGAAACAACATGTAAAACCCTTTAAACAACAAGTAAAACACCGGAAACAACAAGTAAAACCCGTGAAACAACAAGTAAAACCCTTGAAACAACAAGTAACACCCGTGAAACAACAAGTAAAACCCTTGAAGCAAAAAAACCCTGAAACAACAAGTAAAACCCCTGAAAACTACCCTTGTTTATTGATCTAGATGTAATGTCCAGTGTTTTAAGGGATGCCCATACAGGCCAATTGTTGTTCTAAACTGTCCGAATTCACAACTTAGATGTAAAGATAGACCATGTTATAGGGCACCATTGTCTTAGTCTTTTGAATATAAAATATACAAGGAATTTTGGTGCGAAGACAAAAACCTGATGTCACTACGAAAGAAAATTGTTTAAAGGAACAGAAACAACACCAATTCCAAATATTTGAAGTCATCCAAATGAATATATACACTGTCACCAAAAAAACCAATACACACTTAATGACAGTTAATGACAGTTAATGACACGAAGTGACAGTCAATACAACCAAGTGGCATTATGACAAAACATTTACGGGCGGTTGTGACGAAGACAGCCGCAATTATTCAGTTGACAGTCAAACACATTTGAAATATTCCTTTGCCAGGACTGCTTTTGGAGAAAAAGCTGTTATAAAATGAAGCAGATTAAGAAACGACTGGAGAAGATTGGTCCGAATTTATATATTTACGCATATTTGAACCCCCGAAATACCGGCTCAGTGTTCAGCACCTTGTGGATGAAATAAGAAGGCTAGCTTGATCCTTTAATGTACATAAAAAGAATCTCGCGGTCGTGTTACGGTAAAACTTACATATTCCAGGAGTGTGGAGATTGAAAGTGAGCGTAACCCTTGGAGATCGAGGATGCGTGCTCCCATGTTTTTTTCAAACTATGAATGTTAACCTTATTTCAACATTATTTCTTATTGCGAGATATCAAGTATCTTTATTTCATCAATGCAGCTCAACTGCTTTTTCTTCACGAGTAAGGAAAAGATGACCTGTCGCGTTGACGTTTACGTGGTTTATTTATTTCGGACAATTGTGTTAACTTTTAGGTTTGCCAAAGTGCTCATACGTCATGTGTATCGATGTCCGGTGTCCTGTTAGCCTATAAACGTTCCGTCACGATCACTGTGGTCGAAGACAATATCCTGTGATAAACTTTGTGATATCTTACACTGTGACATATGAGTACACTTTTCAGGAGGTGGGGAGTAACGTTATGGATAAGATTACCGTTTGTAATTAGAAAGTCGCAATTCCGCAACACATCTAATAAAGGTAATGAAAGTCTCCGTTTACATCTAGTTTTCAGACACCTTTGGCACAAACGTTCGTTTTAAGTTCTATGAGTTCAAAAGATGCTGAAAAACGGAAATAGACTTCATATCATAAACTGTCTTGCCAACATTTTATCTCCTATGTTTACAAGAAGAACAGGCGATGAAAGCAAATTCTATAGCGAATATGAATATATTTTATGTATTTATATTTTTGTTGATTTTGTCTAATACACTTTTGAATTATTGCGTAACTCTAAAGCGACTATTATAGTGTAATGCAATTCTCCATTAGAGTTCTAATGTGAATTATATTGGTAGTCATATAAATGCTTTATACTATAACATTTTATTATAAATCTTTTTATGATCCAAGCATCAATGATACTCCCACGATGTTTTTTTTTTTTTTTAAACAATGAAATTTGCTCAGAAACGTCACAACGTATTCATATAATTATAGAGGGATCGACGATAACGTTTTATTCCTGTAAATCTTTATACTCTAGCTGACCTTTCTCCGCGCTTTCAAAAGAATAATAAAGATTCTGTATTAAAATGTGCTGCGTATATTTCACATTTGGCTACGGCACGCTCAAAGACGGGTAGACAGAACAGTCTCGTTTTCAAATATTTTACAACGCTTATATAGAGACAGCATTTTATAAGTTAAGAACTTAAGAGAAAGGCTTATTTAAAGCTTTATATACTTCCGAAGCAATGCATAAAAACTGTACTGAAAGTATTAATTAATTTGATTACACGATACAGATCAATTAAAGACTATACATATTTGCAGGTAGCATAAACGTCAATTGGTTCTTGGTCTGATTCGTTGAAATGTTAAAGCTTTAAAGTGACGTCACATGCAATAACTGTATGAAAAGAACCGAGGCGATCATCTTGGTTGTGTTAGTCAGGTGTGGATTCAAGTAGCCGCTTATGGCTGATAGGGGATATATATGTGTTCAAAGTGACAATACTGAGTATGAGGTTGATAAATCACCCATTGACACCGGTATTTGCCTTGTCTATCTTCAGAATCACGTACACATAAATAACATATGAACAGTAAAAGCACCTGTAAAACAAACGTAAGCCAAGTGACACGAACACTTATAATTAGGTCGTAGCAAACGGAATATCAAACAATTTATTTCGAGTTCAAATTCATTCCACAATTAAAAGGTAAAGCAAACCACTGCCAGGGTTAAGAAAGGAGAGCTCCAAAAACGGCTGCTTTTCGTCGTTGGAGTTACTTGCCCATCTGTTGGTTTTTTTCGGTTAGGGTGACTGCCCTTAGCATACCTCATTTGCGATAGAGATCAAGAAGAAAAGACTGCGTTACCGTAAAACGACGAAGGGCCGCCTCGAAGGCGCAGAAAGAATGGCCAATTTATAAAAGAAACAGAGGTATGTAAGTTAGAAAAGGGAGAGGTAACAATCAGTTTTATATCGATGTTGTTGGTTTGCATATTTTCGGGACGTTTATACACGTAATATCTTCAAATGTCACCGATAACGCACTAAGTCGTGATCTACATCTATGTTTACATTTGTACACGTTGGAATATTGATACAGAGTACGGGTTTGACATAACGGCCCCGTCATAATAACATGTACACGAGAAATTATCTCTTGTGATATTACGAATTACAATTTCTGACGTAGGTAATACCCGGTGTCGGCCGAAAACAGACGAAAACAACAACAACACAGATGTCAACAACAACGAAAACGACAACACAGATATCAACAACAACGAAAACCACATCACAGATGTCAACAACAACGAAAACCACATCACAGATGTCAACATCAACGAAAACCACATCACAGATGTCAACAACAACGAAAACCACACCACAGATGTCAACAACAACGAAAACCACATCACAGATGTCAACAACAACGAAAACGACAACACAGATGTCAACAACAACGAAAACCACATCACAGATGTCAACACCTACACCATAGACGATGAAGCCGACGTGCGTGTTGCACCAGCCACCCACACTGTGCATGAAGTTTACAAAGAGAAAGAAGACTGGGAGAAAAACCTGATGAAGTGGAACGAAAGAAGGAGAGTGGTTGAGATCAGTGTTCTGAGCGAATTCCTTGAGAAAGGATGCCATGCATGTGGTTGGATGCTGAAGTTGTCCAACACATTTCAGGAACGGCATTATGGCCCCGGGAGTCTGCTCTACATAAAGGTGTGTACTCTGAATATATATTTTTTAATTGCCAAATCATGTTTGTGCAATATTATTGAATGAGACTGATGACTGTAAAGCTTGGATTTTGTGGAGATCATACTGTCTTCATAATGATATTTGTCCTCATCAACATAACAAATGAAAACATCACATAGTTTGGTGAATTATCCATTAGTTGATCAAGTAAAAAGTTCATAATCTAGCTGATTGTGTCACATCATAATTCATGACAGCTGAACAATGAAAATGACCATTCAGTCATAGCTTCCCAAATAGACTAGTGCTATTGAAACGCGTGTAATTTTATATCAGAGTGCTTATTGAATACAATATTTTCTTCATTTGTTTATAGTGTGCTCAAGAAACATGTGGGACCATAACAACGATCCCTACAGGAAAGAGGCATGGGAAGTATCGTTACAGTTGACACAAAGAGTTTCATCAGGAAAACGGCACCAAATGAAGTCCTACAAGCAGGAGGATTTATGTCGACAGAATGGAATCACATATTCCGCACATTCTGCCTTAGAAGATTCCAAAGCACTATGTGATCTTGTTTCATACTTGAAATATGATCTTGTACCTTAGGGTGAATGTAAAACAGTTGCATAACATGTAGAAATGATGAGAGTAAAGGAAACAAGAGATCAACATAGCCGTCGCCATAGCCTTCGCTATCATTGCTATGCTGATGACACACAAATTTACATGGTCATAAACCCACAGGACAGTTGGAATACAGTCTCAGAAAGTCTGGAAGCTTGTCTGACAGATATCAGTATCTGGATGAACGCCAACATGCTTAAACTTATCAGGAAAAGACGGAACTAATCGTCTTTCCCCCAAAGTGTCAGCAAGCAATGGCTCTCCAGCTCAAGGTTGGTCCCAGAACTATTGAGACTGTTCCAGCTGTTAAAAACCTAGGGGTATACTTGGACAGTTCTCTGAACATGGAGAAACAAGTGAACGCTATTGCCAAATCCTGTTACTACCAGATCAGGAACATCGGCTGTATTCGGCAGTTTCTAACTGCAGATGCAAGCAAGATTTTGGTGCATTCACTTGTTACCTATCGGTTGGATTATGGTAACGCCCTGCTCTGTGGTATATCTGACAAACTAACTAGTCGTCTGCAGAGGGTTCAGAACACTGCAGCACGGCTAGTTACTCGTACTCGAAAGAGAGAGCAGATCACACCTGCGCTTTATTCGTTGCACTGGTTACCTGTACTATACAGGTCGCAGTACAAAATTCTGGTATACACATACAAGGCACTGAATGGAACAGCTCCTCAGTATCTACAGGAACTAGGTTACCCTGTATCAGCCGTCAAGATCACTGCGGTCTGAGTCAGAATCTTTGTTGTGTGTCCCAAAATCTCGTACTGTGACCTACGGAAACAGATGCTTTGGGAGGGTTTCGGCTACGTTGGGGAATAGCTTACCATCTGCTATTAAGAAGTCAAATACCCTGGCCAAGTTCAAGAGGGACATAAAAACTCACCTCTTCACGTCTGCATATTAGAATCTTTGCAAAGACGTCATGTAAATACCACCCTTTTATTTGTTCAATTATGTGCACATTGCTTGTTAAATGTATGAAAGTGATTGCAAGCCTTTGTTGTTTGTTTTCACAATTATAACCATTACTATTATCCATATGTTGTAAAGCGCCTTAGAGTAATTTTACAAATTATATAGGGCGCTATATAAATGCTGTATATTATTATTATTATTATTATCAGAATCTTGTCGCTTTACAGCATCTTGTTGGTGTGAAAATTGTGTCGGGTTTTATTGCCAAAAAATGGGTTTGAACATGTGTCATTTGAAGTAAGTATATAGTCTCGATGCTGAAAATGGTGTAAAATTACTCTTCACTGAAACTACAGGAAACAATGATGTGCGTGTCACGTTGAGGATTATAAAAGATGTGACAACATCTTTAGCAAAGTGATACAAAATAAAATTAGGTATACGTTTTACATTTGTCTTGGGACTGTTTGACTGATCATAGCTAGGTTCTATTTTGTTGGAGTGTATATATGTACTGCTATTTAGTTTATTTACACATCTTACAGAACTTGATTGGTGAGTTCAGTGCTTGCAATTTTGTTAACATTTTGACAATTTTTATGTGAATTTTACCACTTTTCACTTTTTGTTATACATTTTATTGAAATGTTTTCCCCATGTCACTGTAACAATTTACAATTGTTGTTTGTTCAAAATATGTCTCAATATTACTAAAACTGTAAATATATGCATTGTATGTTGTTAGTCTGTTTGTATTGGTTTTACATCTTTTGCTATTTGTATGTGAGTATGTATATATATATATATGTTTATATTTATTTATTTTGTAAGAAAACTGTTTAATGTTCTTACTGAATTTATTTACAATTGTTACCTGTTGAAAAGTCTGCCACCATATATATCCATTACAAAAATATCTGTAAGTTGTAATAGTTATATTTTTTATATTTTTTTTTATATTTATTACATTACTATTACACTTTAGAAATGTTATTTGTTATTTGTTTTTTTTTTATATTTATTGATATTGTATTTGACTGAGATGCTACATGTAACCGGGGTATTTATTATTGTATAAAATATGCTAATCTAAGAGTTACCTCCCTTTTCAAAAATAAAAATAAAAATCAGAATGTCATTCAACTATTGCTTTTTACCAGTTGAAATTATCATATTATGTATAAATGGACAATAAAATATTGCATGAGGTATACACCAGGTATTTTGTTATTTATTCTGTGTGTACTGTTGCAACTCTTTAAAAAATGAAAATGGGAAAAATGAAAAAGAATTACACAATATGTTTCAACACTTGCACGTGACGCGCTGATATTAACCTCTGAACTTCATCCTCATGATTATTTTATATTGGTAAATACATGTAGCCAGTGAGAACATGAATCACCATGCGAAATATAAAAGAAATAAAACGAACAGTGAATACGTTCTATCCTCAGATACAATTATCTCAGAAACGTACAAGGTGCAAATTTTTGTTAGAGGAACTCTGAAGCAATTCAAAATAAGGGAGTCAAGGGGTGTAGAAAGGGATTGAATTAGGTTAACAAATGTAAATGTAACGGATAGTGTACCTTGTATCTATATGGCAAAATACACAATGAGTTTACAGTCTAGAAGAAAACAGTTAATACAGATTAATACCTTCAATAAGATTCATCAGTTCGGAAATTTGTAATATCAAAGTTTTATTGAAACAGTATACAGCTAAACGTGTCGCAACGTTTCAAGACCGACTTGTTTACTTGTACAACGATTGGACGAATTACAGAAAAAAAACATAATGGTAATTACCTTTTGAAACCATAAATATGACATCTGGTACATGTACGTAACCAAACAACAAGAATAAGCAACTAGCGTTAGACACGTCGCGCCTTCCAATGATCATTTCATATTAAAACAGGAACTGTGATATCACATGACAAGTATATGGCATTTTTATATTTTTAAGCAAAGGTTATAGTCGTTTCTAACCATATCCAGTTTTATCAGCCAAGAAAAATATGTAATTTCCCACTGGATTGTCTGGGGATGGGCGGTTAAAGTACAAATACGTATTTTTTCGAAGTGAACCGAAATAACACTACGGTTATAAGTGCATCCAATATTTCCCCATTCAGACAGGATTTTTGTTTTAGATTTAATTTGTAAAATCAATATCACGCGGATTGTCTTGTCCACTCAGCAGCACACTGCACGTTTCATGGACACTCCCTGTTGTATGTGCTGGGAGGTAATCACACCGCTTCAAAAGTAGATACCTCCGTGTTAAACCTCTACATTTATTAACAGTAGTTAAATCCAGAAAAGAAAAATGATAATCAGTGGGGGAAATATTCCTCCTTAATGGCAACGAAAATCTTTTCGCCTGTGAATTTCTTTTATGCTCATACTTTTTCTTCAGTGCAAAAACAGAGGCCTCATTTTTAGATCTATCTTCACATGAAGAGGTTCTGTCATAAGTTCCCCTTCATATTAGATTTATGATACAAGTTTTGGAATTTCCATGTTTGCGAGCCTCTGGCGAGTATCATCAATCTAATATGAAGGGAAACGAATGACAGATTCTTTTTATCATATCATACAAAGTAAACTGTATAATTGTGATCTGAAACGAATATTTTGTACTTGGCCGCCTTTGAAAAGGAAAAAAATTGCGTCCGCTTCACAATCACGTGACGTCACATTGATTGTCCCTATTCGATTTTGACGTCATTTCCGGGGTAATATTACACATGTTACATAAACATGATTTATGTGATGGCTTTATGACACTGCATAATTCGGTATTAATATGATAAATTGCTTTATTATATAATATAAGGCTTCTGCAGTGCAATAAAGGGGTGCAATAAAATTGATATTGAACGTGTGCAATAAAGATGCAAATGAGCGCGCGACACCGTGGGAACTAGGTCGTATTCCTACGCACTACTACTACTACTACTACTACTACTATAGTATAGGCCTACTACAACATGGCTGACGTAAACATTGGGGATTCTGTTCGAATTGACGGCAAAGGTAGGGGCACAGTACAAGAACTTGTTCCAATGGGATTTGCAACATTTTATAGAGTTTTAATCGAGGGAAGTGATATTGAGGTTGACTTGCCAGGTGATCGGTTAGAGCCAATACCCCAGANGCTAGATCCTCTATATATTGAATGCCATTGACTTTTAAATAACAAAGATTTTTTTGTTTAATCGCATTCTCAGATTAATGTATCTGACAGGTGGTGTAACAGGCGCCATAGTGTAAAAACAAAACAATTGAAATGCATCCTGAAATGAACCATCAGCATCCATATGCTATGGTATGTGTTGCAGAGGGTGCTCTTAGTTGAGACACAAGTGAATGGACAAAATAGTGTCAACTCATCATAAAAGTGGGTTTTTCATAAAAGATTTGTTAATATTAATTCATGTGGAACATTAGTTTTTATTTATAAAATAAAACCTCCCAGATAAAGAAAATCACTAAGACGAACTTTGTGAACTCCGGAGACCACGTGTAGCACTTTAGAAAAAGGTCTGGTTAAGAAAATTCAGAAACTTGCTATATTCCGACACACAACCATTTAACTGTTCTATACTACGATATAAATCACATGGACATTTTCAAAAAGCAATGTTCACACTGTCCATAAAGTCAGGACCATATGTACTGTCGTTTTTAACTCGTTAATAAATACGTGGGGTCAGATCAGTACACGCTCTGTCCATCTCTTACCTGATTGGCTAGGTCATTTTAGCGAGGAAGTTACAGATATTTTGTCAATGACGTTAGTCTACAGGAGTGCTGTAATTATCGAACAAACATACAGATGATAAAGGGATAATACACTGTACCCTTGACAACGATGTCAACAACCAAAATGTACTGTTCCTATTCAAGACTAATTGATGCCGTCTGCTTTTTTGTGTGTGCATAACAACAGTCCATGCAACGGTGACATCTAAACTAGAATATCGAAATGTGTTTTTAAATGGAATCGCGGATACTCTGTTGAAACGTCCCCACTTATGACTCTGTTGAAACGTCCCCACTTAGAGTAAAATATATTTAATCGTCCTGTTATGTATTCATAGAAAATAGACCTAATAACACTCGTAACTATTGCACAGGATCCTGGCTGAATATCGTTTCCAAAACAAATTCCGCCGATGTTTTTACAAAACATTGTCCAGTAAAATTAAATTTACTCATCTCAAATAACAGTGCCTAATTCTTGCATACCTAAGAATTCTTCAAAAATCAAAGCTGAAAAGGAATAATACCTCAAAAAGCGTTATTTGATGGACTGTTCTTTTTCATATATCAGTGAAATCGCGCTGTCGATGTATGACCCAATCATTTGTGGACATCATTTTTACGTGATATTTGTTGTTATGAGGACGCAAAACCCAGCACAAACAAGCAAGCAGAAAGGAATATTCTGCCACCTGACTTGGCCACTAAAATCACGCTTTATTCCTTCAAATCTTCCACTTTATCTTTCACATGTTGAGTTTTACTCCTTAATGCAATTAAGTTTCACAAGTAGTCTTTGTCAAAGGTGGGGTCACCATTTGGCCCCCTCTTTGATTTCTTTCATTCCTTTGCCATATGTAGATACGTAAAAATGATCAATAACTGCCTATATGATTATTCATAATGACAACTGATAACCGTAGTGGACCTCCTTGCATAACACCAGGTTGATTGACGGGGGTATCCTAACAAAATGTCAGATAAATTTCACAGGAGAATTCTATTTTGAAAATGAGTTATGATAGTGTACAGTGCATAAAATAACTGTTATTTTGATACTAAATATGTCATATTGGTATACATGAAGTAAGCGTAGTGATACTTTTAATTAATAAAACATGCACATTTTCACATAATTCAAAATATAACCAACATTGTCAACTTGCATATATATAGTTACAATATTTTTTTGTTACTATATTTTAAACTTCTATAAAAAACTTTCCATATATATATTCTGTCTACAGAATCATTTTTATGAAATATCAAAACCGGTAAAGTACTTTTTTGCATGCCAAACATGATCAAAGGCCAATTTCACATAATCATGGAGATTTGATTATCAATGTTTTTTTATGGTAAATACCAATATATATATTTTTTTGTATTATACCAAAACACTTTATTATATAACGTTTGTTTGAAAGTTATGTGCACAGTAACAACTCATGAATATGTATTCTGCCAAAGTAATCGTTCCTCCGGAGAACAACTTAAGGTTGAGATTGTGTTATAGACAGCGATATGTAATAATATAAAAAATAATAACATAATCTTAATAGTAAAACTATTATACAATTAATTATACCCCTGCAACGGATTTAGGGTGGTATCCTGGAATCAGCATGCCGTCCGTCTGTCTGTCCATAGAAAAAGATTGTCCGGGCATGCAACTCCTTCTAAAGTAATGGACCAATTTCAACAAAAGTTTCCAGATATGATAACTACCACCTGAAGTTTTGCATGCAGGTATATTTTTTTCATTCTGACCCTTGTTTTACAAAGTTATGGCCCTTTGTTGAAAAATCCTCGTCCGGACATGCCCACCAAAACCAAGGGGTCAATTTCAACGAAAGTTTTCAGATATGATAACTACTACCTGGTGTTGTGAAATGACCCTTTGTTGAAAAATAGTTGTCCAGTCAACTCTTCCAAAACTATAGCGCCAATTTCAACGGAAGTTTATAGATATGGTAACTGCCCCCTGACATTGTGCATCCAAGTAGTACGTTTCCATTCCGACCCTTTAAGAGGAGTTATGGCCCTTTGTTGAAAACAACCTCTGTCTGCCTCATAAACTACTGGGCCGATTGAAAGTGAAAGTTTACAGATATGGTAATTACCCCCTGATGTCGTGTCAGGGTGGTATTTTTTCATTTCGACCATTTTTAAAGAGTTATGGCCCTTTGTTAAAAAATTGTCTTGACAACTCTTTCTTAACTACTAGGACGATTTCAGCAAAACTGGTTCATCTGGACTAACAAAATTTGGAATGTAAGAATGTTTGGCATTGAGAGGGAGTACAGGAAGTATGTCAGTGACCTACATACTTAAATAATTACCGATGGGTGACTATGGATTGCTTTACAATGCTTTGTCTTAGTTAGCCCTTTGCTAACAGTTCTGGTTTATATAGAAGCGGGTGGTATTAGTTAACCTTTGACTTACAGTTCTAGTTGTTATTTCATTTTGCCTATTGCCCATTCACTAATCAAAAAAGGAAGGAATATTCCATTTTTTTATACCGTTAACTCTAAACAAATAAAGCAAGGAAGATATCCTTGTCTGACTCCCAATACAAACATTTTATTCTAGCAAATTTTATTTTGTGACCTTGAATCAAAAGTGTTATATGACAAATTTACCGGTTGTCATTTTTTTTGAAATTCCTAGTGTTGAAAGTTATTATTTGTAGCCATCTTTCAAGCAAGTTTGAAAAATAGACTGGTTTTAGAACTATGTAAATAAACGTGTCAAAAAAGGAAATGTTTCTCATTAGTAATGAAATTTCACATACTTTTCTGCTTTAATATTCAATAAAGAGAACAATTCTTTCTTTAAGTAGTGTAATATTTGGTATCAAAATAACAGATTGAATATATTGCACATGATGATGATATAATTTTAAGGTAATTGGGTCATTTAAATGCTCTATGAGGAATTGTATTACCATACCTCTAACACCCACACAGGTGTAAGTCAATGAGGTCCCATTTGTCATAAAATGAATTCTGAAAATAACTGTTCCTGATTTAAGCTTCCTATACCTATACCTTTTTGTATTTATCTTGTTTTCAAAGCGGGGGCCGACGCTAATGTTAAATCTCCATAGGCGTTGACCCTACTTTTGCTTAATCGTCATTTTGTTAAAAAATAAAGAGACAATTATCTGGCATTGGAAGAAGTCGTCTGTATTTGATTCGATATCGATTTCACTTTCCTAGATATCTTCCGTCATAAACCCTGTACTATAAAAGGGTATAAATAACTAAAAACAGAGTAAGGTTTACACCCAATAAGCTTCAGATTATTGATTATTATCAGATAACAAATCAATGGACAACCGGTTAACTTTGCTCAAATCAATAAATGGGAACAGGTTAAAAATGCTTATCGGGTTTTATGTATGTCACTTTGATAATGAATCTAAAGGAGGCTCATCAAACATGCACTTAATCCTTCCACATGTTTTATTTCTATATATCCATCAACCATAGGTTGAATTATGCCATCCGATACACATTTTACCCCCATCAGCATCGATGAGATTCCACATTCTATAAGGGATGGTATGAAAAGAATGGGTTATTTAATATGTAACTACAGGTTCTAAAAGAAGTTCTTGCACGTTTCAGACATCTCATTTGGTTGTTCATATAATCATGACTATAGTTTTTTCCCGTGCTGCCAGTCCTTTATATAAAAGTATTTGTTTACGTTTTAACCTCGACTGTCTGAACATCAACACAAAGAGATTGCAATACGTCAACAGGCATCAATGAGTTCACGGGAATATTCTACGCGACTCCAGGGCTTCAGTGGCTTAGTCGTTAGAGTGTCTGACATATATGATCCCTATCTCTCTACTTCCGGGTCGTTGGTTCGAAACCTACGTGGGGTAGTCGCCAGGTACCGTCCGCAGGTTGGTGTTTTTCTCCGGGTAGTCCGGTTTTCCTCATCCATCAAATCCTGACTCGTCCTCAAATAACCACAGCTGTTAATATGACGTAAATCTCCAACTAAATCAAACCAAAACAAGCGAATCAAGCATTCCTGTTGCGTCTTTAGTAAATGTATTTATTGTTGGTTATATTTATTCTATATTCATTTTTTCCTTCAAAAAATACTAGGTCACTCAAAACCATCCATTCCTTTTGCAATTCAGTGCAGGTTTTCTTTTGGTTTATTTGTTTGTTTTGTTTTTAAAATTGTAACTCCTTCATATATTAAGCAAGTATCCCAATCATGATCTCACAGGGAAATAGGTTATTTCTTTGTGTGATATGAAGGCGGTTTTGATTATGCTCATTAGCATGCCCTGTGTTGTTTTTGTCTCTACCCGAGTTCTCTATGTGAGAACGTGACATTACTTGGATTTGACCTAGATTTACATGGCGGGTGTCGTCGATGAGGCACAAAACGCTTACACCCGGAACACCTGGTCTTTTCTTCTTGATCTTGTAAAAAGGCGTCGATAATTTAAGAGGAATACAAAATACGAGATCAAGAACAAACGCGTTGAACTACTGGTAGAAACTGGATTTGTTTATTGTCAAAAACGTTAAAAAAGAATAGCAAAAAATCCCATGATTCTGCATATTCATCGCTTACACGATGTAACTTGGCATGGGAAGGCTAAATTATTACTTGTCATTGGCATAATAAATATATACTTTATTTAGACTACACCAAAACGAAACAATAATGCTTTTCGATTATGGTAATCACTCTTGTTGGCTCAGAGGGAAGCGCACGGAGGGTCTGAATGTGGCAGGATACACAATGAGAAAACACACGTGGTCTGCCAGGTGACACAATATCTTGTCACATTCGATCGTTGTCATAGACACGTCAATATATAATAATAAAATCACCTTATGAAATATAAAAACAACAAGTACCATAGACGTCACCTACTACAGGTGATAAAGTCTACATTTGTGACATTTTTGTTTCGAGTTCACTCTAAATACAGCGACAAGATATATATGATAACATGTTCTTCTTTATAATTTCTCTTTCCTAAGTTCAGCGTTCAAAAGTTTACCCCACATGGCATTGTAAGGATGAGCGAAGCTAGTTGGCTGCCCATTGCTATCTACCATAGGACGACCTTCGTTCGCCCACTGAAACAGACTGCCCTCTAAATTAACTGCGGTGGGAAAGTCGGGACCGGAAGGAAGTGAACCTGTGGATAAGTAATTAACATGCTTTTAAAGTTTTTTATTTTTTTGCCATGAGGAATTGATTGTTGTTTGCGCTGAGTATAAACCAGAGAGTAACTATCCTCACAGAACCATTGTTAACGCGAACATTTCTAATAGCGAAAATTTCTATGTTTGCAGCATACGCATTCACAACGACATCTAATTCACAAAACAAAAACAAAAATCTAAATGTTAAATTTATAGTCGTGAATAAAATATGGTTAAAAAGTCAACTCTGTCCATTTTGTGTCTCGAAACTATCTCGATTTCCGCCTGGTTGTTTTGTGTAAACAGTGATATACATGTAGTATATAGATATTCTTAAAAAATAAAATGTTTTTGTTTATATTTTTATATATTTCAATTGAACGTTGACGAGAAAAGAAGCCTGGGATATAGTAGACATAGGCTAATGCTTTTAAAGCTATAATTTTACGATGAAAGTGTCAACATTTATCAAATATAACCAGCCATACAGTCAAGTCAGACATAGTTTCTTTACAAACTAATAGAGAATAGCCACCCAGCTGACAGTCAAGTTGATAGACATTTATATAACACTAGCATAGTCTGGTGATTGCGATGATAAACCAAATATATCTCTCCACATCTTTTAGCTTTGTATAACATCTTTGCACTTGAGATAATTTCAGGCAAACAAGCTTCCCTCTGTGATATGACCTTCATCATAAATTCGATAAATAGCATTGCTGGCGGTCGAGTAAGTGTGAATCGCTACCAACAACACATCTCTGTTTTGTCTTAACAATCATTTATACAGTATATCGATTAATTTCCTATTTAAAGGTTGTCTGTGTAGTGATGGACCAGATGTCCAGCAGTTGAATAATGTAGATCAAAACAATAAACAGGTTTGAGTCATAAGTGTCTGCAGGCTGGGCCAACTACGATGTCGTTCAAATCTAGACTTCTTACCTGAGTTTTTCCTGAAGTATTTTTGTAGTTTATCCGCCACTGTTGATGATCTGTATCCAATGGAGCAGTAACACACAATGTCAGTGTTAACCAGACGTTCAACTGAAAGTAAAAACAGCCGTTAACTAACACACAATGTCAGTGTTAACCAGACGTTCAACTGAAACAAAAAACAGCCGTTAACTAACACACGATGTCAGTGTTAACCAGACGTTCAACTAAAACAAAAAACAGCCGTTAACTAACACACAGTGTCAGTGTTAACCAGACGTTCAACTGAAACACAACATAACCGTTAACTAACACACGATGTCAGTGTTGACCAGACGTTCAACTGAAACACAAAATAACCGTTAACTAACACACAATGTCAGTGTTAACTAGACGTTCAACTGAAACAAAACATAGCCATCAAGTAACACACGATGTCAGTGTTAACCAGACGTTCACCTGAAACAAAAAACAACCGTTAACTAACACACAATGTCAGTGTTAACTAGACGTTCAACTGAAACAAAACATAGCCATCAACTAACACACGATGTCAGTGTTAACCAGACGTTAAACAGAAACAAAAAACAACCATTAACTAACACACAGTGTCAGTGTTAACCAGACGTTCAACTGAAACACAAAACAACCGTTAACTAACACACAATGTCAGTGTTAACCAGACGTTCAACTGAAACACAAAATAGCCGTCAATTAACAAAAAAAAACAGTGTTAACCAGACGTTCAACTGAAAAACAAAATAGCCGTTAACTAACAAACAATGTCAGCGTTAACCAGACGTTCAACTGAAAAAAAAGGTAACTAACACACAATGTCAGTGTTAACCAGACGTTCAACTGAAACACAAAATAGCCGTTAACTGACAATGTCAGTGTTAACCAGACGTTCAACTGAAACAAAAAACAACCGTTAACTAACACACAATGTCAGTGTTAACCAGGCGTTCAACTGAAACACAAAATAGCCGTTAACTAGCAAACAATGTCAGCGTTAACCAGACGTTCAACTGAAACACAAAACAGCCGTTAACTAACACACAATGTCAGTGTTAACCAGACGTTCAACTGAAACACAAAATAGCCGTTAACAAACACATAATGTCAGTGTTAACCAGACGTTCAACTGAAACAAAATCAACCGTTAACTAACACACAATGTCAGTGTGAACCAGACGTTCAACTGAAACACAAAACAACCTTTAACTAACGCACGATGTCAGTGTTAACCAGACGTTCAACTGAAACACAAAATAGCCGTTAACTAGCAAACAATGTCAGCGTTAACCAGACGTTCAACTGAAACACAAAATAGCCGTAAACTAACACACAATGTCAGAGTTAACCAGACGTTCAACTGAAACAAAATCAACCGTTAGCTAACACACAATGTCAGTGTGAACCAGACGTTCAACTGAAACACAAAACAACCGTTAACTAACACACAATGTCAGTGTTAACCAGACATTCAACTGAAACACAAAAAAGCCGTTAACTAACACACAATGTCAGTGTTAACCAGACGTTCAACTGAAACAAAAAACAACCGTTAACTAACACACAATGTCAGTTATAACCAGACGTTCAACTGAAACAAAAAACAACCGTTAACTAACAAACAATGTCAGTGTTAACCAGACGTTAAACTGAAACACAAAACAACCGTTAACTAACACACAATGACAGTGTTAACCAGACGTTCAACTGAAACACAAAACAACCGTTAACTAACACACAATGTCAGTGTTAACCAGACGTGCAACTGAAACAAAAAACAACCGTTAACTAACACACAGTGTCAGTTATAACCAGACGTTCAACTGAAACAAAAAACAACCGTAACCTAACACACAATGTCAGTTATAACCAGACGTTCAACTGAAACAAAAAACAACCGGTAACTAACACACAATGTCAGTGTTAACCAGACGTTCAACTCAAACAAAAAAACAACCGTTAACTAACACACGCTGTCAGTGTTAACCAGACGTTCAATTCGAATAAAAAAACCCGTTAACTAACACTCAATGTCAGTGTTAACCAGACATTCAACTGAAACACAAAATAGTCGTTAACTAACACACGATGTCAGTGTTAACCAGACGTTCAACTGAAACACAAAACAACTGTTAACTTACAAACAATGTCAGTGTTAACCAGGCGTTCAACTGAAAAGAAACCCGTTAACTATTACACAATGTCAGTGTTAACCAGATGTTCAACTGAAACACAAAACAACCGTTAACTAACACACAATGTCAGTGTTAACAAGACGTTAAACTGAAACACAAACCAACCGTTAACTAACACACAATGACAGTGTTAACCAGACGTTCAACTGAAACAAAAAACAACCGTTAACTAACAAACAATGTCAGTGTTGACAAGACGTTAAACTGAAACACAAAACAACCGTTAACTAACACACAATGTCAGTGTTAACCAGACGTTCAACTGAAACACAAAACAGCCGTTAACTAACACACGATGTCAGTGTTAACCAGACGTTCAACTGAAACAAAAAACAACCGTTAACTAACACACAATGTCAGTGTTAACCAGACGTTCAACTCGAACAAAAAAAACAACCGTTAACTAACACACGCTGTCAGTGTTAACCAGACGTTCAACTCGAATACAAAAAACCCGTTAACTAACACTCAATGTCAGTGTTAACCAGACATTCAACTCAAACACAAAATAGTCGTCAACTAACACACGATGTCAGTGTTAACCAGACGTTCAACTGAAACAAAAAACAACCGTTAACTAACAAACAATGTCAGTGTTAACCAGGCGTTCAACTGAAAAGAAACCCGTTAACTAATACACAATGTCAGTGTTAAACAGATGTTCAACTGAAACACAAATCAACCGTTAACTAACACACAATGTCAGTGTTAACCAGACGTTTAACTGAAACACAAAATAGCCGTTAACAAACACATAATGTCAGTGTAAACAGACGTTCAACTGAAACAAAATCAACCGTTAACTAACACACAATGTCAGTTATAACCAGACGTTCAACTGAAACAAAATCAACCGTTAACTAACACACAATGTCAGTTATAACCAGACGTTCAACTGAAACAAAAAAACAACCGTTAACTAACACACAATGTCAGTTATAACAAGACGTTCAACTGAAACAAAAAACAACCGTTAACTAACACTCAATGTCAGTATTAACCAGACATTCAACTGAAACACAAAATAGTCGTTAACTAACACACGATTTCAGTGATAACCAGACGTTCAACTGAAACACAAAACAACCGTTAACTTACAAACAATGTCAATGTTTGTAAGTTAACGGTTGTTTTGTGTTTCAGTTGAACGTCTGGTTAACACTGAAACACAAAATAGCCGTTAACTAACACACAATGTCAGTGTTAACCAGACGTTCAACTGAAACACAAAATAGCCGTTAACTAACACATGATGTCAGTGTTAACCACACGTTCAACTGAAACACAAAATAGCCGTTAACTAACACACAATGTCAGGGTTAACCAGACGTTCAACTGAAACCCAAAACAACCGTTAACTTACAAACAATATACACCACACACTCGTTAACTAACACACGCTGTCAGTGTTAACCAGACGTTCAATTCGAATAAAAAAACCCGTTAACTAACACTCAATGTCAGTGTTAACCAGACATTGTGTATTAGTTAACGGGTTTCTTTTCAGTTGAACACCTGGTTAACACTGACATTGTTTGTAAGTTAACGGTTGTTTTGTGTTTCGGTTGAACGTCTGGTTATCACTGAAATCGTGTGTTAGTTAAAGAATTTTTTGTGTTTCAGTTGAATGTCTGGTTGTTTTGTGTTTCAGTTGAACGTTTTGTTAACACTGACATTGTGTGTTAGGGAATGGGTATTTTGTGTTTCAGTTGAACGTGTGGTTAACACATGATGTCAGTGTTAACCACACGTTCAACTGAAACACAAAATACCCATTCCCTAACACACAATGTCAGTGTTAACAAAACGTTCAACTGAAACACAAAACACCCGTTACCTAACACACGATGTCAGTGTTAACAAGACGTTCAACTGAAACACAACATAGCCTTTAACTAACACACAATGTCAGTGTGAACCAGACGTTCAACTGAAACACAACATAGCCATTAACTAACACACAATGGCAGTGTTAACCAGACGTTCAACTAAAACACAAAACAACCGTTAACTAACAAACAATATCAGTGTTAACCAGACGTTCAACTGAGACAGAAAATAACCGTTAACTAACACACAATGTCAGGGTTAACCAGACGTTCAACTGAAACCCAAAATAGCCGTTAACTAACACACAATGTCAGTTTTAACCAGACGTTCAACTGAAACCCAAAACAACCGTTAACTTACAAACAATGTCAGTGTTAACCAGGCGATCAACTGAAACACAAAATAGCCACTAACTAACACACAATGTCAGTGTTAACAAGACGTTCAACTGAAACACAAAAGAGCCATTAACAAACACACAATGTCAGGTTTAACCAGACGTTCAACTGAAACACAACATAGCCGTTAACTAACACACAATGGCAGTGTTAACTAGACGTTCAACTGAAACACAAAAGAGCCATTAACAAACACACAATGTCAGGTTTAACCAGACGTTCAACTGAAACACAACATAGCCTTTAACTAACACACAATGTCAGTGTGAACCAGACGTTCAACTGAAACACAACATAGCCATTAACTAACACACAATGTTAGTGTTAACCAGACATTGTGTATTAGTTAACGGGTTTCTTTTCAGTTGAACACCTGGTTAACACTGACATTGTTTGTTAGTTAATGGCTATTTTGTGTTTCAGTTGATCGCCTGGTTAACACTGACATTGTGTGGTAGTTAATGGCTATTTTGTGTTTCAGTTGATCGCCTGGTTAACACTGACATTGTTTGTAAGGTAACGGTTGTTTTGTGTTTCAGTTTAACGTCTGGTTAACACTGACATTGTGAGTTAGTTAATGGCTATTTTGTGTTTCGGTTGAACGTCTGGTTATCACTGACATCGTGTGTTAGTTAACGACTATTTTGTGTTTCAGTTGAATGTCTGGTTAACACTTACATTGAGTGTTAGCTAACGGGTTTTTTTTATTCGAGTTGAACGTCTGGTTTACACTGACATCGTGTGTTAGTTAACGGCTATTTTGTGTTTCAGTGTTAACCAGACGTTCAACAGAAACAAAAAACAACCGTTAACTAGCACACAGTGTCAGTGTTAACAAGACGTTCAACTGAAACACAAAAAAACCATTAACTAACACACAATGTCAGGGTTAACCAGACGTTCAACTGAAACAAAAACCAACCGCTAACTAACACCCAATGTCAGTGTTAACCAGGCGTTCAACTGAAACACAAAATAGTCGTTAACTAACACACGATGTCAGTGATAACCAGACGTTCAACCGAAACACAAAATAGCCATTAACTAACACACAGTGTCAGTGTTAACCAGACGTTCAACTGAAAAAAACCCGTTAACTAACACACAATGTCAGTGTTAACCAGACGTTCAACTGAAAAACAAAACAGCCGTTAACTAACACACAATGTCAGTGTTAACCAAACGTTCAACTGAAACACAAAACAACCGTTAACTAACACACGATGTCAGTGTTAACCAGACGTTCAACTGGAACAAAAAACCAACCGTTAACTAACACACAATGTCAGGGTTAACCAGACGTTCAACTGAAACACAAAATAGTCGTTAACTAACACACGATGTCAGTGTTATCCAGACGTTCAAGTGAAATACAAAATAGCCGTTAACTAACACACGATGTCAGTGTTAACCAGACGTTCAACTGAAACACAAAACAACCGTTAACTTACAAACAATATCAGTGTTAACCAGACGTTCAACTGAAAAAAACCCGTTAACTTACACACAATGTCAGTGTTAACCAGACGTTCAACTGAAACACAAAACAACCGTTCACTAACACACAATATCAGTGTTAACCAGACGTTCAACTGAAACACAAAATAGCCGTTAACTAACACACAATGTCAGCGTTAACCAGACGTTGAACTGAAACAACAAAAAAACCGTTAACTAACATACAATGTCTCTGTTTGCCCGTCGTTTAATTAAAAGACAAAACAATCGTCAAATGACACACTTTTTCAGCGTTAAACAGGCGTTCACCTGGGAGACAAAACAAAAGGCCTAATTGGCCTTAATCGCTCACCTGGTATTAACTATCACATCTTAAAAGTGGACTTAAATGCAGCTACAGGTAAAATATCAGTGTTTGATTCAAAAGAATCTATTAAAATATTTACCTTTATGACCCCTGTGACCTTGAAAGTCGAATAAGTACATTGTGTTGAACAGACTTTACTGCCCTTCATCACAGCTTGCTTCTCGCCAAATATCATTTCCCTGGCTTTTGGCTATTTATAAGTTCTTGAAAGATTTACATATTTGACTCCAGTGACCGTGAATATAACTCAAGGTCATTCATTTTAAAACATAGTAGATCACATCATGCTATGGGCCAAATATAATCGTTCTGTGCCTTTTGGTTATTCAGAAGAAGTCGCATAAAGGTTTCAAACATATCTGACCCCTGTGAACTTAAATATAAGTCAAGGTCATTCATTTCACAAACTTGGTAGTCTTTCATCCAAGTATGCTACTGGCCATATATCAACATGGTTATTCAGAAGAAGTCGTTTAAAGATTTTAAACATATTTGACCCCAATGTCCTTGAATATGGGTGAATGTCATTTCTTTTAACAACATTGGTAGCCCTTCATTCCAGTTTGCTTCTGGTCAAATATCATCACCTTAGAAATTTGGTTATTGAGAAGAAGTTGTTTAAAGTTAAATATTGACACCGGACAACGGACGGACGACGGACGCCGCGCCACGGCATAAGCTCACTTTGCCCTTCGGGCCAAGATAAAATTTATAAAATAACGATCTTCAATGGGTACCAGGTTTATATTTGATTCATGATACGACTCTAATGTATTTTTACTTCAGCGATCCTCTTTCAAAATTAGATTAAAAAGATCCCTTTTATCAAATGATCCAGTGTATTTTCTTTATTCCATACAATTCTTCTGGTTCCGCCAACTTGGCTCTTTATCTATTTTTAAATTGTGATGTCATTGCAAAAAGTGGAAGTCTGTGACATCGTATCATTGCCATTTTACAATAGCAGTAAGCAGTATTATTTATATGCTAACATTTTGAAGAGAGTCATTGATTATTGAGTCTCGCGGTGAATAAAAATTACAACTAGAAGTGATGACAATGACGTTGTAAACTTCTGACGTCACAACGACATCAGAGTAGCATTAAAATTGCAAAAATATTTGCATGAAATCTTAATAATGTTATAAAATGAAATTTAAATCATTTGTATTTTAAATCGTTTGCTAAAAATATTCTCATCCGAGTCTTCCTAAACACTTTTTGCATAAATATCATATGAAATAGAAACCCATTAAACAATCTATATTCATTCCCGTGTCAACATTTTGTTTAGTACCTGGTTGTAGATGTTCCGGCAACGTCTTCACAATTTCGTTCACTTCCTTGTCGAAATCAACTCTTATTGCCCCTTCCAGGTGGCTGACAGCGTACTCCTCTTCTGGTCGGCAGTCCTGTACGACAATTAGCTAGTATTGATGCATACGTAGAAAAAACATCGTGAATGTCTAAAAATACAAGGTTTATTTGGGCAAGGGTTTAAAAAGATGAATAGCCATCTGAGTTTTTTCCGTCTCCAATCAAAGTTGGCATTGTACCTGTACGTATGACATTAAGTTCTCTACAAAGAAAAGAAAATAGATAAGAAAATAATCAAGGGCATCGCATCGTCCACCTGCCTTTTTTGGAAGTTATGTTGAAACATGTTTACTGGTTTTGGTGAACACAAATCGACATACTTGGCCCCTTTGAACCCAAACCCTCAGTCCGAAGGAGGGTCAGTTGCTTTTATTGTGTAGCCTCTGATCTCCAAACACAGTTAGGTTAAAACGTATCCAATAGTTTGAGAGAATATGCCGTTTAAAACAAATGTTAGCCCCTTTTTACTCCGCCCTTAAGATCCAAGACTAGATCGCCCTTTGATTCCATAACTAAAATCTAAAATCATAGCTAAATATGCTACCACCAGCCCACAATTTAGTTGAAACTGCTCAATAGCTTTGGGAGAACGTAAAGGTAACCACAAGTATTGATGTGGCCTCGTTGCTTATCTTATGCTGGAAACTGGAACAATTTCGAAATATGAACAAAATGGAACCAAATACCAGGATGACGAGTTTCCTTCTGGACCGAGAGTTGCTGGTATCTTGTAGTTGTGGTTCCGAAGAGGAAGTTTTCGTTGTCTGATCTTCATGCGTGATATGATCCTTCATCCAATCACTCAGTGTGACTGTCTGTATATCATTCACTGACCCAAATTTCATTGACATCATAGAAATCACCGCTTTCATTCCAAAGCCTGTTGCCATAGTAGCACAGCTGATGCTCTACTTCCTCCTGTAAGTATCAAGTTATTAATCTCAGTTGGTTTTGACAACACTGTTGTAGTACCCCGTATGTAGTACCCCGTCGTATGGCCATACATTTATACATGTATCACCATACCTATATTATTTCTGATAATTTCTCCCTCGCATAAAATAAATCGAGGACAGATGATTTTAATTATAGTATATTTCCATGAGGCGATGGCAGCTGCCGTCTGCCTTTTAAGCCTAACAAGATATTGAACGTTTATCATCTCCAATATGATTTTGGTTTTAAGCAATTACATGTTAGTAAATAAGAATAGAAAATATCAGTCATGCAAGTCACGTTTCTCCACTATTGGATAGATTTTAGCTATCACACTAAATATGGAGTTATCCATGTAAATATTGGTCACTTCGGGTATACGAAATCTCTTACGGAGGACTGAAAGAGCATTGCGATAACTATGACGTCACGACGAGGAAAGACAATATCATGACATCAGGTTTAACCATGCATACATAATTCATAGTTCTCTTAAAATATGTAGACCTTTTAATAATTTATTGAAAACATTTGTATTGAAATATCATAATTTGAATAAGGAATGAAACAATTTACAAAGCTATCCATCCAATCCTAAATGCATAGAGTGGAATTTTAATGTATCGCAAATTCTATATAAAGGTACCAAGCATTTGGTTTGTAAAGATGTGCCCGGTTTTGATGGTGGAAGAAAGTTTCCCGGAAAAAAACACCGACCTACGGCCAGTATCTAGCGACTGCCCCACGTAGGCCTCGGACCCGCGACCCAATGTTGGAGGGCTAGTGATAGGAGAATGTCAGACGCCTTAACTGCTTGGCCAGCGCGGCTCCTAGTAACCAAGCGTCTACATCTGTACCAATGATTAGCTCATTGCCAGAATACGGTAGTTAGGTGAGATGTTTTAAGGATTGAATCCTGTTCTGTTAAAGTTTATGGGGTATAAACATCAATGGGTTTTGAAACAAATTTTAAGAACTGCTTCGCAGTTTATTTTGAATTTGTCTCAAGACCCTATGAGTGCAAAATCGATAGTTTTGGATATTTTTAAAAATATCGGTTTTGTGAAAGAAGTCTTACACCACAGAAGGTACCGAAGCTTATGATGTCATCACTCACTGTAAGACGTCGTCCTGGTTAAATGAATAACCTGTTTGCATTGATTACAACGAAAAAACCAAACCAATTAAGCTGTAATTTTTTTTTCTTTTTTTCAATTAAAAACCTCTGCCAAAAGAAACCCCAACACTTTATTGAAGTCACGCGGAATGACAGAGTAATCAGGGTGATAATATGCTGATGTATCCATACGCCAACTGAAAAGTTCATTGAAAATAACCTTTAAAATATTTAGTAGGTATATTGAGTCCAAGTTCAGTAGAAATGTAAACATATAATAATAATAATAATAATAATATACAATATTTATATAGCGCCCTATATAATTACTCTAAGGCGCTTTAAAACATATGGATAATAGTAATGGTTATAATTGTGAAAACAACCAACAAAGGCTTGCAATCACTTTTATATATTTAACAAGCAATGTGCACATAATTGCACAAATAAAATAAAAGGCTGGTATTTACATGACGTCTTTGCAAAGATTCTAAAATGCAGACGTGAAGAGGTGAGTTTTTATGTCCCTCTTGAACTTGGCCAGGGTATTTGACTTCCTAATAGCAGATGGTAAGCTATTCCATAACGTAGCCAAAACCCTCCCAAAGCATCTGTTTCCGTAGGTCACAGTACGAGATTTTGGGACACACAACAAAGATTCTGACTCCGACCGCAGTGATCTTGACGGCTGATACAGGGTAACAAGCTCCTGTAGGTACTGAGGAGCTGTTCCATTCAGTGCCTTGTATGTGTATACCAGAATTTTGTACTGCGACCTGTATCGTACAGGTAACCAGTGCAACGAATAAAGCGCAGGTGTGATGTGCTCTCTCTTTCGAGTACGAGTAACTAGCCGTGCTGCAGTGTTCTGAACCCTCTGCAGACGACTAGTTAGTTTGTCAGATATACCACAGAGCAGGGCGTTACCATAATCCAACCGAGAGGTAACAAGTGAATGCACCAAAATCTTGCATGCATCTGCAGTTAGAAACTGCCGAATACAGCCGATGTTCCTGATCTGGTAGTAACAGGATTTGGCAATAGCGTTCACTTGTTTCTCCATGTTCAGAGAACTGTCAAAGTATACCCCTAGGTTTTTAACAGCTGGAACAGTCTCAATAGTTCTGGCACCAACCTTGAGCTGGAGAGCCATTGTTTGCTGACACTTTGGGGAAAAGACGATTAGTTCCGTCTTTTCCTGATTAAGTTTAAGCATGTTGGCGTTCATCCAGATACTGATATCTGTCAGACAAGCTTCCAGACTTTCTGAGACTGTATTCCAACTGTCCTGTGGTTTTATGACCATGTAAATTTGTGTGTCATCAGCATAGCAATGATAGCGAAGGCTATGGCGACGACAAATCTCTCCAATCGGTTTGGAGTACATACAATATTTTCGTGGTCCTAACACCGACCCTTGAGGAACCCCGAAATCTAGTACTTTGTCATGTGAGGTGGCAGATCCGATGGCAACACACTGTCGTCGTTCACTCAGGTATGACTGTATCCAGCATAGTGCGGTATCAGTCACTCCATAAGAGTATTCCAGACGTTTATAAAGTATGCCATGGTCGATGACGTCAAATGCAGCTGACAAGTCCAGCATGACAAGCACCGCTCTGCACTTGTTATCCAATGCAGAAGCTATATCACTATGTACACGTAGGAGGGCCGTCTCAGTAGAGTGTCCCATGCGGTAGGCCGATTGCATGTTGTCATGGAGACTGTTTGCATGGAGATGAACCTCTAAACGCCGGGACACAACCTTCTCCAAGATCTTAGACAGAAAAGGCAGATTTGAAACTGGGCGGTAGTTTTTCAACTCCTCCTTGTCCATTCCAGGCTTTTTTAACAATGGTCTGACATGTGCCTTCTTGAAACATAATGGAACCTTTGACTCAACCAATGATTTATTCATGATTGCGGTAATCAAAGGAAGCAGTGCTTCAAGACATTGCTTTAATAGGTCTGTAGGCAGTGGATCAACCTCACAGGACTTCGATTGCGAGGTCATGATAATGTTGCGCAACTCGTCCTGGGTTGTTGGTGAGAGCTTTGGCAGTGGTTTCCCATCGAATGCAATGTCAGCAGTCATGACAGAGATGTCAATGTCAGCAGAGGTGTTCACTTCAGTAATATTTTTTTCTGATTGAGCTGATTTTATTCAGAAAGTAATTACTGAACTTGCTTGCTAAGTCTTTTTCAGAATTACAGCTTGGTAGGATAATTTCACCTTTCTGTCCCATTAGGTTTTTGGTGAGTCTAAAAAGTTGCCTTTTATCCTTGCAACATTTTTCGATTTTTTCCGCATAATAAGTCTTCTTTGACTGAAAGAGCAGTGAACCAACTAGCCGACATTGCTCTCTATAAATCAGTTGGTGAACGGTTAATTTGGTCCGTCGCCACTGTCTCTCTGATTGTCTACGTTTCTGTTTTTCCACGCGGAGATTTTCATTATACCACGGGGCATTTGGTCTCACAGTTATCACCTTAGTTTGCAGAGGTGCGTGTTTCTCTATAAGGACTTCTATACCAAATGTGTATGTTTCAACAAGATCATCAGCCTGGCCTTCAGTAGATTGAAGGACGGAACAAGACTGAATGTCATCAACATTACATAGATCGTCTAAGTGGAAATTTATATCACCCTTGATAATAATCTCTTGTGGTACAACAACTTGGTGGTATATATGATTATACCAAAATTCATCATATTTCACTAGGAAAACGCATTAAACGTTCTGTTGTGCTGTCCCTTTTTCATTGCTCACCATCCTTATACATTTAAATTCGCGCTGCAACCCACTATATGAACATAACCAGCAGAAAAGCATAGAACAATAGAACCTGTGTGTTTCAATTAAACACATTCCAAAAAAAACTTCCACTGATTACTCCATGGAAATACAAAAAATACATGATAAAAATAGAAAACGACGCATTTAAGAAAAATAGTATCCACGTACGAGGTCCACTCAATAGATTCTGTCACTCGTGTCGGGAATCACATGTATACTTATATAGTTCGACCTTTCTAATACAATCCTTCGACGTATCCCCCCTTAGCAGAAACACACTTTCGCAAACGCACTATAGATAACGTTAACACTGCGCTGTTGTCTCCCCTTGGTATACTGGCAAGCCGCTGGAAGATTGCACAACCAAGAGCACTCCCAGAGGTACACCGTTTCCGAGATAGCATTTGGTGAACAAGTTGGTTTGTCATTCTGTATTACCTTCTCTTGATTTAAAAAACACCTGTTCAATATTGCTTTTGTGGGATGAAGCAATGTCGTGAAATAGCTTGATGCAATTAAACCCTTTAATTTGACGCTTTTTTTGTGTAGAACTTTTCTACAGGCTTCAGAACTTTGTCTCTGTAAAATTTGGCAGGGATAGGTTTCTCTTCCTAACACGGTATCTAAATCACAGGCCCACTAGAATTGGCGCTTTTCATACGCCTTGCAATAACTTCCTTTCTTTATTTCTCGACAACCATTACTTGGTATTAATGCTCCTTTCGTATTCAAAGGTATTGACCCCTGTCACATCCCTCCTAAGTAAATCTGATAAAAATGTCTTGAGTCATGATTACCGTCCTTTTTCAATATATTTCAGCACATTTCAAGCGTTTAGCCTTTTTGTTCAGGTGTAAGCAAATGGGGAATCCATCGGGCACAAATCGGAGACAAATCGTTTTTAATTCAAGCAATAAATCCCAATTCTACCAACTATCTTTTATTTCCTAGCGCATCGCTTGGCAATACGTCACTTTTGGCTTTATTGGTGAACGTTTGCCAAGGTGAGGAGGGCAATGGGTTTCTGTCCCCAGGCCGGGACGAACCAAAATTCTTAAAAATGGTAG